GATAGCAGTCACAGGTCAGTAGTGTTTTTTTCTTAGCCGTCCACAATAGCATAATGCTCTGATGGTACAAGAGGGCATGTGTGGGTGGGCATTATTTTCCTATCTTTTCCCATTATCTGATTCAAATTATCTTGATGGGGGAAGCAGTGCAGGGGGAGGGGGCAGTGTTTCTAGGCTCCTCCCTTTGGAGCAAAAATACATAAAACATGAGGACATAACATGCATAACATATGAGATACATGTAATTCCTGCAGTTCATCCATATGCTGCATTCCAAGGATGTTGATTTAGCATAAGGAAGACCAAAACACGAGTAATATATTGTCCAGGGGTGGGGTACCTTTAGTAATTTCCTTTCTTGGCAGGGTGTTGAGTTTTTATAGCAGAGTAAGAACAAGTCCTTACTCTGCTGTTAGGAATATTTCCATTAATATCTTAGTGGATCAACCAGTTGAAGGTCTAGGATGTATCTATTACAGATTGAAAAAACAAAAATTCCAGTTGTATTGAGATATTTATGAATTGTCTCATTGGTTCTTTGTCAGTTATACAGTGGACATGACTCTTGGGATATGTACCTGCACAGTTGGTAAAAAACGGGAGCCCATGCAAACACCAGTATGTCCTGTGGGTGGCAAATCTAGCAGACTGCATAAACTTCATTCCAGTCAGTAACCCACATGAGAGGCAGAAATTGGCCTGGCTAGCAATAGGAAAGACACTTCCTGTTGCTTGTTATAAGCCATTACGCTCTAGTGATGCTGGACAAACATCACAAACTGATGGTTCTAATGGTTTTGTAACAGAGGCATCCACTAGTATGGAAATAGCACAACAAGGGCCAAACTGCTCAACTGCTGAACTAATTCAGAGCAATGATGATGAGGATGAATATTCCACTGAACCAATACAGAGCAATGATGATGATGAGGATGATTCCATTGCAAATGCTGAACAATTGTTGAGAAACTCTTGTGAACAAATAATTCAAAAGCTCCAAAGCTCAAGAGACCTTAATTTGGCCAAAGGTGTAATCAGGTTTGCAAAAGGGTAACATCCTTAACCGCTGCTAGATCTATGCATTCTAATTTGGCAAGCGCCCTTTTTTCTTTTGGGTCCAGTGAGGTGAAAAAAACCGGAAATGGAAAAAAGATCCGAGTCCAGCCCAACAGAAAACGAAAGTGTGGTAGTGGAAGCCGTCAGGTTGTATCAAAAGGGCGACCAGTACAACTACAAGAACCAACCTCCAAGAGGAAGCGCGCCCATGACTTGGCTAAAGCAGTACAAACAAACACTAAAAGTAGTAAGAAGTCTGGGTCCCATTCTATGAAATCCAAGACAAAGCACATGCAAAGGAAAAAATAGGAAAACAGAGAAATCTTAGTGAACTAGACCCTGTGAGCAGGGTAACTGGGATACCTGGATGGTACTGGATCCTTGGAATCAAGTGTAGTGATACTTCGGGTGTCGGACTAGTCTACTGAAATAGTGCGCTCAAGTCTGGCCAAGGGCATACACCTATTTCAAAACATAGGCATGCTATGCGTGCAAGAGTTCCTTTTTTGTAGGGTGGGTGGCTTACTTGAAACATTGTGAGTGATGTCTACATTCTTACAAAAGGAGAGAAGAATATTAATGTGGGAAAGAATGAAAATGTCGAATTACCTCACTCACAGGTATTTTGTGGTAGATTATGTGTGTTTTGCGAATAAATGTAACCAAAAATAAACTGTATTGGTGCCACAGATACCTGTTAGTACAAAATGCAGACAGCAGACTGCAGACTGGATACAAAATATAGACTGCAGACTGCAGAGTGGGTACAAAATGCAGACTAAGAATCTGAAGAGTTTTTACGTCTGGTATATAGGAACATGTTATCTTACAGCTTACCGAGCGTCACGCAATCTCTTTTCTGCAATCCGCCTTCATGATTATTTGCACTATTGTGGAATATTCCTGGCCCATTTCTTGATGAAAATCGATCGCAATATTATTTCAAGCCTTCAATATAGTCTTCTTACTTTGCGCGCGAGTTGGTTGGTGTGATGTCTGAACAGATTTTATCAACGTAATAAAAGTAGATGATGTGAACAACAGTGATGGTAAAGCAAGCTTAAAACGGCAGAAATCGCCAGAAAATACAACGGATACACAGGGTATGAGTAAGTTTTATTGATTTTACGAGAAAAATGTTCATATTTCGAAATATGTATCGTTGTAAATCGACCATACTTCGTTCCCTGTACTATTCCTTATAACGTGCAGTTCCTCTCGTAACTTAACACCGAGTGACGCGTGACGCGTTCATGAATTAATCGTTGGCTTTTTCTCGAGACGTGAGCTTGGGCCGCTTGTGACAAGACAATTGCGTAAACAATATTTAACATAACAACATTATACACAAAAAAACACAGGGTTTTGGATCACGTATTTATTAAAAAAGAATATCCATACAACTACAATGAAAACAAACATAAGATTCACCTTTCTGATCGTGAAATTAATACCATTCGTACTGTTATCGTAGCTACGTTCCTTGCCATCAAGTGAATCCAACATGTTGTCTTTCTTCACAAGCAGTTTGTATCCCATATAGTTATGTTCTTCAGTCTCACGGTGGTAGCGTTGTTCAATAGATTGCATAGAGTATACGCAGTTTGGTTTCAGATTTCAGATTTTGCTTTTTACAACAAGTGAACGTTTTTTCAACTAAGACATTGGCATACTTAGCATACAAGGCATTCAAGGCTTTCATGGCTTTCATGCGTTCGCGGCTCAATCCGTTCCAAAATTACCGCTCAATAACATCTTTCAGTGTGGATTAGCCGCGATTAATACGACTTGTATATGCGTCTGTAAGTATTTTGCGCGTTTGCGCTATAACGCTCCAGGAGATCGCAATCCAAATACGTTGAAATATAAAACAACTGACCAAAGTATCGCAAAATCTCGTGTTCGTAATGTGACCCGGCCCTGTCTGTGCATGACAACGTCAATCATCATCAAGATAACACGCGTGATCAGCATGTGAACACCTCATTGGATTACAGTTAGTTGTCATGGTGTTGTGGGATAACACGCGTGATCAGTATGTGAACACCTCATTGGATCACAGTTAGTTGTCATGGTGTTGAGGGCCCAATGACCTCTGGGTACTATTGCGCAATTTTTCCATTTTGTGGCGGAGGAAAAAAAAAAAAAAAAACCACAAAAAAACAAAGGCATTTTATGACTGGGCTACCACAGGTATCCCAGTAATAAACAATGGAATGTTCGCATAATGTTTAACATAGAGGGAAATTCACTTAAGGCAAATTGCCTAGATTAAAAACCTCTCTCCTTGGATCTGCCCCTGAACAACAAGGTTATTAAAAAGATTGAGGTTTTGACATTGTAAATAAGTTTTAATTCATTCTTTCCTGTTAAAGTCTAACACAACATTTGTAATGATTTAAAATTTGGTTTGAACAGTAACATGATGTACATGTGCTGCAATGACCACAATTAATTTCAAAAATCGATAATAATAATAATTTAAAAACAAAAACAATTATGTATTATAGATTGATCCAATAGTCCTTTCAAATCATCTCCAGTTAAAATCACTAAATGCAGGATAGGTTAATTAAACATGTGACTTTTGGTGTCTTATAAGATTTCGTTTCTCTGCAAAAGTCTTTTGACAATGATCAGACTTGTTGCTGTCTTTATGTTTCTTGTCTTTATGCCTCTTTAGCTTTTGCTCATGGTCAAACGATTCATTGCATTCCTTGCAAATGCACTCATGACAACCTTTCTGGTGGTATTTGAAGTCCTTCTCCCTTGTGAACTGGGTGCTGCAGGTTGGACATTTTTTATCTCTGCTATTCCCATATCAAGGTCTTCCCTCAAGCTCTGTGCTTTATCTTTCCAGTCCTATGAAGATCATAGCATGATATTTTAAAAGGGGGGAAATATATTACGGAACAATCGTGTATTTTTGATCCCCCTATTTTTTATATAAACTAGATTGCAAAGACAGTTTTTTTCACCCTCTATCATAATTTTTTGAGGATAATACCCCCTTGCCCTCCCCCCCCCTTTCCTCAAAACCTGGATCCGCCACATGTAGGTTATTTCTAATTAAAATTTAGGTTAAATTAATTGGTACATTATAATGGGCCTTGCTATCCCCTAGGTATATTTAAGAGTTCTGTCTGGAAAAATAACAAGTCTGAACATTATATTACAAAATTGACATTCAGCTTGAGGTCCCAGCTTGATTCAAGATCAACATTCATAACCTAAAATACTTTTAATTGGAAAGTTTGACGAGAACATTTACACTCTCGGTCCTTACAAATTTAGCCACGTAAACCACACAGCAGTCCACTGAAATGGGGCAGGGTTAATACACAAACATTCGCAATGTTAGAAGTTTATAACTAACCTTTCGTCTGTCTGTCGGCAATTTCTTCCACATATTGCCAACCACTTTGGAAACCTGCCCGATTCCCGCCCCCTTTCCAAGTTGTTCCTTGACATCTGGCTTTGGAATGATACAAAGTACGAGGAAACTATATCAGCTTATATCGAATGTAATTTCAAGGCCTACAAGAATAATGAATACAAGTGCAACACTTACAGATAAGATATTTGTTAATGACATAAACGAAAATTTTAGATGCGGTTTATTTTTCACTGATATTTCTGATCACTTAATCTTAATCACTTGTAATCGGATGTAAAGGATGTAAGGGAAACAACATGTTTTAGGCTATTTGAACAAGCACTTTATCCAGGCTGAAAATGATTGAATATTTCGGGAAATACAAAACAAACTCACCGCAACTGACTGCATAAAGGAGTTCCACCCCGTTGGCTTCTTAATTGATTTTTTTTTTGTTTCTGCACAAGGAGAATGGGTTCGTTCTGTTTCAGCTGGCTCAACTCTCGCGCACGTGGATTGCTCCGCCATCTTATAAACAACACTGCCCGGAAGTGACGTCCGAGCGTGCCAACAGCGTACGAGCTATTCACGAGGGCTGTCGTCTGCTCGGCTAGTTTTAGAAATGGCATCGACCGTTTCAAATGGCAACGACTGTTCTGAGAAATGGCATCGACCGTTTCAAATGGCAACGACCGTTTACGAAAGGGAAATTTGCCTCGCCGCCAAATGGCTTGTTTCGACCGCGTATCGTTGGGTTTTCTTTTACACTTGTGCCTGTGGCCTTTTCATCGAGTGGACGGCACCGTTATTAATATTTATTCATCTTTAGAGCCGTATAGTATTTTAGCTAATTTAAGTAGACCGGGATGGACGAATTACACGCTTGAAGCATCGAACACCGACGAACACACTACTCTTCTTCAAATTCTGTCTATTGTTCAACAAACGGATTATTGCGAATGATTCGCAAGCCAGACTGCACATCTCTACTCAATCATCGACTTCCATTTTTTAATTCAGCAGAGAGGACTCAAAGACCTCTGACTGTGACAATTTTTGGAAAAAACTGCTGTAGAAAGCTTCAGAGAAAAGTGTCTTGGACCACTTCAGTCGGAACACGTGTGTTTCGATTGAAAGACTTCATTCACGAAGAAGATCATGCGTCGCTAAGGCTTAGAGAGACACCATGGAGAAAGTATTTTAGATTCGACGCCAAATCCGATTATTTGGTGCTTCGAAAATCGTTACTTAGACTTCAAGAAAACACTCTGATAGTGGAGTTGGTATTTCCGGTTGGTTCTAAGAATGCGAGTGGAAATAAACAAGTTATTGTAGCGCGACTTGAGTTGTTTATCGATAAAAACGCAAACAATTTTGCCAAGAAGGTACGCCGATTTCATCGTCGACCATAGAAAACAGTTCCCCGTTTCTCCAGCTCTCAGTTAATTGCTAAGGTTAGAGAAAATCGTTTCGTAGGAACAAGCGTTATTACGATTCAAGCACAAGATACGAACAATGGGTACGCTGGGAAAATTAAATACTCGATGGAAGTGTCCCAGAATTTACTCAGTCTGTTGTTATTTGGGATCGGTCCTAACACGGGATTAATAAAAACGTGAAAAAAAAAAGAGATCGTGAAAAGATGCCGACGTACTATTTTCGTATCAAAGCCGAATACGAACAAGATAGATCGTTGTATGCTGAAGCAGATCTGACCATGTATGTCAATGATGTAAACGACAACGCGCCGAACTTCGAATCATCCTCTGACAGCAAAGTCATACCAGAGAATATTTACCTATATCGGAGAGACGGTCCTTGATGTGCGAGCGCGCGATTTAGTTACAGGTTCCAAAGCAGATAGTCGTTACAACATCATTAATAAAAGTGGTGTTTGCAGTGCATTTGCAATTGGTCAAAGTAGTGGTTCAATAACTATAGACAAACATCTGGATTGAGAAACTGTACAGCAATACTCCCTTACTGTCCGGGAAAGTGATAGTTCATCCCCTCCTAAGACAGACCAGGCCACTGTGCGAATTACTGTTGCTGATGTCTATGACTGTGATCTTCAGTTTTTAAAGAGAATACTCCAAAAAGATTCCTGAAAACATCAAAACAGGGGAGCTAGTTTTGATTGTAAGTGCATCAGATGAGGACCTTGGCACCAATGGTGAAGTCACCAACAGTTTTAGCAGTGGTAAAGACCAGGAACTTTTTTCTATCAATCATCTTAATGGTCAGATCAAAGTAAACAAGAAACTTTATTATGAGTACATTCCAGTGCATACACTTTTTCTGATGGCTCAAGACAAAGGCAAATCGCCAAATTACAATGAAACCTCAGTGGAGATATATCTTATTGATGTCAATGACAATGCACCTCAGTTTGTGAATTCCGATTTTCAAGAAATGGTCTCAGAATGTTGGAGTGTAGGACACACCTTTATATTTGTTACTGCATTTGAAGCAGATGATGGTACAAACAAACAGATCATTTACAGAAGTGAGTGCAACCGATCATGGTAATCCTCTATTTGAAGGAACTGCTAATGTACATATAACAGTAGCAGATGTAAATGACAACAAACCAAGATTTTTACAAGCCAACTATGAAAAGCCCATTCTGGAAAATGTACAGCCTGCAACAGTTTTGGAAGTCTCTGCAGTTGATGATGATGAGGGTTCAAATAAAGCCATTATCTACTCATTTGCTAAAAATGGTAAATATATCTAATTTATTGTTTGATATTTCATCATGAGCTACATGTGTAAGTAACCCTCAAATAGGGTAATTTAGTACTATCAATTGAGTTGGTAACATAAATTGGCCACCATAAAGAGTTATAAAGCTGATGTTTCAGTGTTAGCCCATTGTCATGGCTCTGAGAAAGGGCCAAGGCTTGAAACATTAACCGTAATTCTTTAAGGTGGCCAATCTGTACGTTATCAACTCAGTTGATAATAATGAATTACCCTGTTACAATCTTCCACTGACGCAACACCATAGTTTCTTTAGAAACTTACCCCTCTTAATCCCCAAATACTTGCATGTAGTGCATATCAACTGAATCAGCCCAATAACATATTTCAATTTCAGGTGTTCATTTGTATTTCCCTTTTGTTTTGTAGACATTTATAGCTAAGTAATCCCTAACCCTTTGTTGCGTAACATCAGTATACAAGTTCTCCATACTGTTCTCTATACATTTCCAATGGTGCAAACCCTTTGCTGCTTAACATCAGTATACAAGTTCTCCATACTGTTCTCTATACATTTTCAATGGTACAAACCCTTTGCTGCATAACATCAGTATACAAGTTCTCCATACTGTTCTCTATACATTTTCAATGGTACAAACCCTTTGCTGCTTAACATCAGTATACAAGTTCTCCATACTGTTCTCTATACATTTTCAATGGTACAAACCCTTTGCTGCTTAACATCAGTATACAAGTTCTCCATACTGTTCTCTATACATTTTCAATGGTACAAACCCTTTGCTGCTTAACATCAGTATACAAGTTCTCCATACTGTTCTCTATACATTTTCAACCAACAAGGAGAATTTGTAGAACAATGAAGAGTTTCTTGGGTTTGTGATCATTTCCTTTATTCTCATGACCTCAATGTTTGATCCAGAGGTAAAACTGTTGGGAGTAATTAGATGTTTATCATTCTTAGGGATTAAAGGGTTAAAGATGTAAAATCTGTAGCTTTTTTTTTACAACATTCCAAATCTTTTTTACTTAAAATTCATGTTAAGCTACACTGTCTAACACTGGTGCATGTCTAAAATTTGTTGACGTGTTTTAGCAAGAGTGGGTGAAGAAAAATCTAATCAGTGACACTCTTGGCTGCTTCTTGTGTTAATTTTTTTTTTGTTTTATTTACATTTGGACATCTGCTGTGATCTGAACAGACCCATGGCAACATTGAATGTGTTTGTTTTTACATAATAATAAAAGCACAATGTTGTTGGCCCTCTACAGCCTAACATCAGTATGCATATTCTCCATACTTTTGTTTATACATTTCCTAAGGTGCTGATAAGGAGAATTTGATAAACCATCAAGAGCTTCTCTTGTTTATGATCATTTCCTTTATTCTTGTGACCTTAATGTGTGATTCTGGGGGATATTTTAAGGAGAAATTAGATGTTAGTCACTCTTAGGGGTTAAAGGGTTGATAGGTTTCAAGTACAGGTATTGATTAAGCCATTTATGATCGTGTTCTTATTAATATTTTTGGTGGTTGTTGTTGTATTTTTCAATACTCATCTAGGTGATGGAGGTGGTGCTTTTCAAATTGATAGCAATCAGGGAGTCATCAGAACTTGATCATGAAACAATTCCCAAATATGAACTGACTGTGGTTGCTGCCAACAAAGGCAGACCATCAATGAAGTCAACTGTGAAAGTCAAGATAACACTGGAAGATGTTCGTGACAGTAAACCAAAATTTGAAAAGGGTTCGTATGTAGTGTTTCTTGATGAAGATGTGAGAATGCGTTCCAATGGAACGAGTGCAAACTAATTATAGATGCCCCTGTGCTACTGACTATCAAGGAGAAAGTTGCAACACAGGTTTAAACTTGTGCTACTCCAATCCTTGTGGAAACAATGGGAAGTGTGTGTGTGTAGAGGAAGGCTACTCTTGTATATGCAATCCAGGAAGAGCTGGTGTAAACTGTGAGATTGACATGTCAAAGAGCAAGTGTCCTACAGACTCAAAAGTGACAGAAAATCATCTAAATGCAAATCCATGCCATAGTGATGGTGGTTGTAAAAATGTTCTTGGAAGCAGGTTCACCTGTCAGTGCAAAGATTTGAATGAAGTTGATGGGTCACTGTGCCAACTGAAAAGGTGCAGTTTTGAAAAAGGATCATTTGTTGCCTTTCCTGGTAAGGATTTATTTGTAGTTACATGTTCTATAATTCCTAGAATAAGCTCTTCTACTTTTAGTAAGCGCCCTTCTAAAACTTGCCACTTCTGCATGACTGCATGGGCCACTTGATACTTAAGTGGACTTTACTCTTTTTTACTGAATTTGACTGAATTTCACACAGGATTGAAAATGGATGAAAAACTGACAGAATTAAGATACAATGAATTTTTGAATGTTGAGGTTTTTAAAGTTAAGTGCTGGTGTTGTGTAATGAATAGATTATTAATATGGGAGGTGACTTGAAATCAAACAAGTTAGTCACATATACTATGTTAGAGCATTGTGTTCCAATCCAGGTGCTTCTTCTACCTTGTGTTGGGGATAGAATTTCAATTGTTGTGAGGCTTTTTGTGAGTTTAAATGTATTGGTTTACTATCCTTCATGTAGCTCCTTCTAAAAGGTAATTTTATGTTAACCCTTTTCACCCAAACATCAGTACCCATATTCTCCATACTGTTCTCTGTACATTTCCTAAGTTAACCCTATAACTCCCAAGATCTGATTGTTAATTCTCCCCTGTAGTTGCTATACATTTCCTTGTAAATTAGTTACGAGAACTTGGTGCTACAGTAGATCAGGATAGCAGCTTCTACCTGATAAGTTTGAATTTTCTCATTACTTGTTTGCTGAAGAATGTATGGATATTGTGGGGAGAAGTTTTATGTTAATCACTTCTGGGAGTTAAAGGGTTTAAATGACAAAGAGACTGTACAACAATCAAGAGCTTCTTTAGCTGGTGATCATTTCCTTTATTCTAGGGACTTTAATGAGTGATTTAGGTGTGATATTGCAATGAGAAATTAGATGCTGGTCACTCTTAGGGGTGAATGGATTGTTACTCAATGGCACTGTTTGTAGTTTGTTTTGATGTGATGATAATGATGACGTTAATTTTTCCTAGCACTGAAACAAAGATGGCATTTACACATACAGATGGAGTTTGCCACCACTGTGCACAGTGGGCTCTTGCTCCTCAACGGACGGTGTGATGGAAAACACAACTTTATTGCCGTGGAGGTGTGGCAAGGACAAGTTTGGTTCAGGTTTTCACTTTTTTCCCACGAAGTTATTGTTACATCAAATGTAAATGGCAGTGTCATTGACGGCAATTGGCATAAAGTAGAAGTGGCATTTCAGAACAGGGTAAGAATCTTTTTTGAAAAAAAATTTGCGATATGAATTCCATTTTATTTGTGTATATGCACATGAATGTGAATTACATTTTATTTCATCAAGAACCTTTTATACCATGTAAGTCTTCTGTTCAGTTAACCCTTTAACTCCCAAGATCTGAGTGTCAATTCTCCCCTGTAGCTGCTGTTCATTTTCTTTAAATTAGTTACAAGAATCTGGTAGAATCAGATCAAGATAACAACTTTGAGTATTCTCATTACCTGTGTAATGGATAATGTTTGGATATTATAATTACATGTTTGTTACTTGTGGGAGTTGAAGGGTGAAGGAGGCAATGAGAAATTCAATTTATTTTGTATCACAGTCTGTTACTTTTTTTCTGGTACTTTACAATTTGCAAAGTTCTGAACTAGATGTTACTTTAAATTTGTAAACTAAACTGACATGTACCTACAGGTAAAGTGTAAAACTACAGATTGGAGCTTTTCTAGAGCAATATTCACATAATGGTTTCAATATGTTTATGAGTGTCCTGTGATTTTGTGGCTTAAACTTTTTTACTCTAAAGGTTATATGTATTTTTGGTGGCCAATAGCCTGTAGACAACTCTTGTGTAATTTGAGGGTAAATATGTTAACTTCAGTTGTTAAGATTCAAGTGTCAAGGGTCATGTCTCAAACATATCTGACCATTCACATTACCACGGTATTTGCTGGTTGCACAATTGTGTGTTTGGTTGCTCAATATCAGGAAAAAAATGGCTAAATATTGTATTATTTATGGAATTGTTTACTGATTTGAAGAGTGCAGTTTTGGAGTGGTGTATGTTACACAATACTTTTCATTTGACATTCCTTACAATGCAAAAATTCCAGTCATTTAAATTGATTAGAGAGCCTTATCTCTTCGAGTTGAAAATTGTTCTTTTTTTTAAGGAACAATTTCATAAAACCACGCACTCAATCTTGGTTAAATTTCACTGCATGGAAGCCAAAACCTGTTAAAAATCTAAAACATATGTTTTCATCAGTCATTAAACAAACCACCCAAAAGACATGATCAACTTTGGGATTATCTGCTTCTCTGTGCTAGTATTTTGATAGATATTACTCAACTATTTTATAGAGCATCTTAATTAGGGTAAAACTCTTGACAAAAAACAACACTTACCTGTTTTTCCTCTGTATCATCCATTAAAAAAAAAACAACAACAATTTCAACAAGACAAAAACAAAAGAACAAACTTGAAATTTTCATATGAAAACAACTACTACCTTCATTGATAACCTCTGAACTTAAAAAAATTCAAAATGTAAAGGAATGAAGATAAATAATTCCTTCTCAGATCAATAATCCAAAAATCATTTTGGAAGTATCACAGCTTCTTCAGAGCAACAAGCTGTTTAAGTTTGGAAAAAAACAAACATACATACTGATGTAGACAACTCCTGCAGTGATAAGCAATTCAAAATTTCAACCTGGCACAGCTATGACAAAAAACTTAGCATTGAAACATGTATGAACGTGCACAACATGTGCCAAGATAACCTGTGTTTTAAATGATCTTGCCAAACATTGTATACAAATGAACAAATTGACTACATATGGATAAAAAGTCTTAACCCTTTACACCCTAACATCAGTATGCATATTCTCCTTACTGTTCTCTATACATTTTCTAAGGTGCTGGCAAGGAGAATTTGTTTAACAATCAAGAGATTCTTTAATTGATTATCATTTCCTTTATTCTCATGACCTAAATGTTTGATTCAAGGCTGATATTGAAAGGAGAAATTAGATGCTGGTCACTCTCAGGGATTAAAGGGTCAAAGAAGGGCAGCAAAAGTAATAAAAAGGAAGCAAAAGTAATAAAAGGGAAAAAAGAGAACAATCTGGGGATAGCAGTAAACACATACAGTACATATACTTCAGTATGTATGAGAGAACATCAGAAGTGTGAATCCAAAGGTTGTAATTTCAACTCTGAGAATTCAGAGTGCTTTCAGTCTGAGTATGAATGCAATGATGAATACATCATCTTTCACATAAATGAGTGTTCCTGTAATCTTGAATATTTAAAACTAGGAATCAAATGAACATAAAATAGTTACAGGGTGTGGTCATGTTACAATGATGTTGTGCACATCATTTATTTCATTCTTTGTGCTAAAAAATGGCATTAGTGGGGGCTGGACAAAAATTGGGACATAGTCCTGTCTCCCCCTCCAGTTGCTATTTGTTATTTATTGGAGAGAATTCAAAGTTTCTTGTTTTTCATTGCAATAGCGCTGAGTGGTGTGCAATGAAAATGCATGACCTATAGGTAATTCATTGTATTCTTTCAGAAGTAATTACAAGTTAAAGTATAACTTGCATTGTTTAAAAAAATGAAAAGGTCGTGGGAAAAGAATGGGCATCACACAACAAAGAGTTTGAACTTGTGGGAAAATACTAAAATATATCAATCCCTTTTGAATGTTGTTGATACTGAATTTTTAACTTAAAGAAAAGAAAACAAAAAGATTTTGGAATTATTTCTCTTCCGGTGTAGGCATGGCAATTACTGGTAGAAACCAAATAATCTGCGGCTGATAAGGGAGAGCCTGGATATTCCAAAACTGCATCACTGTAGATGTAAAATCTCATTGAAATAACGGTTGTGGACCATTAATGTAAAAGAATGTAGTTGAGCCCAAAAAAACTTTTGGAGGGCATAATATGTAGTAGTGGAGTGCTACTGTTATCAGTTCTGTACAGAATCCTAATCAGATCATTGTTTTTCAAACTTGAATCTTTCATCTATGACTGCCTAGTTTTAATAATGAAAATTTTCCATCTAGGTTTTTCCTTTATCATTTCCTTATTATGTCTTTGTACATTGTACAATTGTATAACCAGCATGCCCTCATCTGAATAAAGGTAGCCTAGGCCACTTAAATTTTGTCAGATAATTCTACAAATAATTTGGCTAAAAAAAATGATCTGATCTAAGATGCCTGAAGGATAACTCAACAAACATCTCATCTTTCTGCCCTTAATTCAGTAAGTGACTTTCCTGAGATGAACCTTTTAATTATTAGAAGTGATTAACATGTAACTTCTCCCTATGGTATCCATACATAATTATTAGAAGTGATTAACATGTAACTTCTCCCTATGGTATCCATACATAATTATTAGAAGTGATTAACATGTAACTTCTCCCTATGGTATTCATACATAATTATTAGAAGTGATTAACATGTAACTTCTCCCAATGGTATCCATACATAATTATTAGAAGTGATTAACATGTAACTTCTCCCTATGGTATTCATACATAATTATTAGAAGTGATTAACATGTAACTTCTCCCTATGGTATCCATACATAATTATTAGAAGTGATTAACATGTAACTTCTCCCTATGGTATTCATACATAATTATTAGAAGTGATTAACATGTAACTTCTCCCTATGGTATTCATACATAATTATTAGAAGTGATTAACATGTAACTTCTCCCTATGGTATTCATACATAATTATTAGAAGTGATTAACATGTAACTTCTCCCTATGGTATCCATACATAATTATTAGAAGTGATTAACATGTAACTTCTCTCTATGGTATCCATACATAATTATTAGAAGTGATTAACATGTAACTTCTCCCTATGGTATTCATACATAATTATTAGAAGTGATTAACATGTAACTTCTCCCTATGGTATCCATACATAATTATTAGAAGTGATTAACATGTAACTTCTCCCTATGGTATTCATACATAATTATTAGAAGTGATTAACATGTAACTTCTCCCTATGGTATTCATACATAATTATTAGAAGTGATTAACATGTAACTTCTCCCTATGGTATTCATACATAATTATTAGAAGTGATTAACATGTAACTTCTCCCTATGGTATCCATACATAATTATTAGAAGTGATTAACATGTAACTTCTCTCTATGGTATCCATACATAATTATTAGAAGTGATTAACATGTAACTTCTCCCTATGGTATTCATACATAATTATTAGAAGTGATTAACATGTAACTTCTCCCTATGGTATCCATACATAATTATTAGAAGTGATTAACATGTAACTTCTCCCAATGGTATTCATACATAATTATTAGAAGTGATTAACATGTAACTTCTCCCTATGGTATCCATACATAATTATTAGAAGTGATTAACATGTAACTTCTCCCTATGGTATTCATACATAATTATTAGAAGTGATTAACATGTAACTTCTCCCTATGGTATCCATACATAATTATAAGAAGTGATTAACATGTAACTTCTCCCTATGGTATTCATACATAATTATTAGAAGTGATTAACATGTAACTTCTCCCTATGGTATTCATACATAATTATTAGAAGTGATTAACATGTAACTTCTCTCTATGGTATCCATACATAATTATTAGAAGTGATTAACATGTAACTTCTCCCTATGGTATTCATACATAATTATTAGAAGTGATTAACATGTAACTTCTCCCAATGGTATCCATACATAATTATTAGAAGTGATTAACATGTAACTTCTCCCTATGGTATTCATACATAATTATTAGAAGTGATTAACATGTAACTTCTCCCTATGGTATTCATACATAATTATTAGAAGTGATTAACATGTAACTTCTCCCAATGGTATCCATACATAATTATTAGAAGTGATTAACATGTAACTTCTCCCTATGGTATCCATACATAATTATTAGAAGTGATTAACATGTAACTTCTCCCTATGGTATCCATACATAATTATTAGAAGTGATTAACATGTAACTTCTCTCTATGGTATCCATACATAATTATTAGAAGTGATTAACATGTAACTTCTCCCTATGGTATCCATACATAATTATTAGAAGTGATTAACATGTAACTTCTCCCTATGGTATCCATACATAATTATTAGAAGTGATTAACATGTAACTTCTCCCTATGGCATCCATACATAATTATTAGAAGTGATTAACATGTAACTTCTCCCTATGGCATCCATACATAATTATTAGAAGTGATTAACATGTAACTTCTCCCTATGGTATCCATACATAATTCTGCAAACAGGTAATAAGAATACTCAGACTTATCAGTTACAGTTGTGTTCTTGATCTAACACCAACTCCTGGTAACTACAACTGTAATTTAAAAGGGAATGTGTAGCAGCAAGAGGGGAGAATTAACAATCACATCTTAGGAGTTAAAGGGTAAACTGCTATGTACATATATTGGAGGGATTTGACCTTTCAGCAAGCAACACTTTCAACTTTACCAGTAGTCCTTTAACTCCCAAGATCTCATTAGTAATTCTCCTTACTGTCTGCCATACAGTTCTTCTGAAGCTAGTTTGGGGAATTTGGTAATGGATCAAGTAATCCTAATTAAGATTTTTTTTTTCATCATGTGTCTGCTTGATATTGTATTGATATTGTAAGGAGAAATTCTGTCTTGGTCACTCATGGGAGTTAAAGGGTTAACCCCCTGTTACAATCCAGTATCCCAAGTTATCTTGTGTTTTACTCTGATGATCTCAGAGTTAGTCTTCACTTTATATTGAAAAAAATTAAAACATACAAGGATAAGTAACCCTTTTTTGAAGTGTTTTTTACCCAGTAAATCATTTTTTTTTCTTTTTTCAGACTGGCATTATCATTGTTGACAACTGTAAACTTGCAGTGGCAGTGAATTTTGGGACCAATGCAGCCTTCTTCCCATGTGCCGCAGCACAGCAACTTCAAATTAAAGATGAATTGGAAAATTACAGGTACATTTTTATGTGAATGCACACCATCAGAGAGGCAGAGTAGCTGAGTGCTTAGGGTGCTGGCCAGCTGCTTAGGATGCTGGCTAGGTGCTTGGGTGCCAGCCAGGTGCTTAGGGCACTTGCCAAGTGCTAAGGGGACTGGCCAAGTGCTTAGGGCGCTGGACTTGAAATCCGATGGTCCAAGGTTGTAGTTCTCCACTCAGCTACTTACTGGATTTGTTTTCAGTTGCCCTGAGTTCCACTCATTGGCTTTGCTCTGTTTGGCTGCCTTTTACTAGTTGGGAATCTTAAAAACTGTGTTGATGTTTATTTACTATGTTTACTTCCAATTTGTTTTTACATATATTGGAGGGATTTAAGTGTTTTTACCCTTTGACCCTTTCACCTTTACCTGCAACCCTTTAACTCCCAAGATCTCATTAATAATTCTCCTTACTGTCTGCCATATAGTACTTCTGAAGTTAGTTTGGGGAATTAAAATTTTTCCTTTTCTTATCACTTGTCTGCTTGATATTATATTGATATTGTAAGGAGAACTTGTGTCTTGGTCAATCATGGGAGTTAAAGGGTTAATGCCCTGTTAAAATCCAGTATCCTAGAGTTAGTCTTCATTTTATATTGAAAAAATTTAGTTCATACAAGGGTTAGTGACCCTTTTTCAAAATGATTTTTAGTCAGTAATTCATTTTTTTTTCTTTGTTTAGACTGGCATTATCATTGTTGACAACTGTAAACTTGCAGTGGCAGTGAATTTTGGGACCAAAGCAGCCCCCTTCCCATTTGCTGCAGCACAGCAGCTTCAAATTAAAGATGAATCGGAAAATTACAGGTACATTTTTATGTAAATGATAATTCTTCATGTCTACTTCCTTTTTAAATTCTCAAAGTCGTGTATGGAATGTTTTCGTGTTTGGAATAAAAAGCAAACTGCAAATAGCAACGCTGTGATCCTTTTTTTTTTTTTAGCTCCTTCGATCTGACAGGCCCTCTTCTTCTTGGTGGGCTTATTCAGCTACCAGTTAAATTCCCAGTCCTCTACAAACATTTTACTGGCTGCATCAGAAATATTTACATCAAGTTCTTGGACTTCAGTCAGCCATTGTACAACAACGGAATCAGTGCTAAATGTAAAGCAATGGGCAACACGTGCGCATATAAACCTTGCGAGCGAGGCACGTGTTTTAACATACTTAGTTCTCGTGGCTGCCCCACTGGGTTTGATGGAAGTCGCTGTGAAACAGGTATTGAATTTTTATTTACGGATATGTTAGTGAACATTCCTCTCGCACTTACTTTAGTTTGAAGCGTTCGGAAAAGTACAGAATCTTTTGGAATCTTTTCAAATGCTTGGTATCTAAGATGCAGACAACAGTTCATGAGTTGTGCATGATAAAAGACACCTTATGAGCATTTAAATGTATGCGGTTCCTTGTTATGAGAAATGTATCGTCGAGTTTGTCTGGTTTAGTGGATCTTCAATTAATAAATGCACGTACTTAATCACTGGTATTTTCGCCTTGAATTATCGATCCATACCAGATTTTGACCCGACAGTTTTGAGAAAAGAGCGAAAAATCAGTTTTTCTGTACATTTGACGAAGATCTGCCGGTTTCAAAAACCCTGTGAACAATCCTCAGAGTTGAAAGATTCCCTTCCTTAACGTTAAGGGCCGAGTTCCTCAAATACTGTCTTCTGTTGTGTCAGCAATTTCTGTTTCTTAACCTTTTCACTGCCAAGATATCATTGTTAATTCTCCTTACTGTCTGTCATACAATTCTTATGATGTTAGTTTTGAGAATTTAGTATTGGATCAATTCATAATTCTGTAATTGATATTTTTCTTTATTCTCGTCGCTTGTCCGCTTGTCTACAATTCTTACAATATTAGTTCAGAAAATTTAGTATTGGATCAACTAATTATTCCCAAATTGATGTTTTTCTTTATTCTCATCGCTTATCTGGTTGATGTTGTATTAATTTTGTAAGGATAAATACTGTCATGGTTACTCATGGGAATTTAAGGGTTAAATTGGAGAGAAATTATCCAGGACTCCAGTTAGCGTTGATTTTCTGGGAGTCACGTTACCCTAAAATACCCCAACTAAGGAGAACGTCAATTTCTTATCACGAGTTCTTATATGGAAACCATTCATACAAACTTCCTCGTTCAACAGGTGTGAAATACACTGAAAGATTCTCAGGACAGAGTTTTAAGAGGGTGCCTGCTTATTCAAAGGTCAATCTTCAATCTTCTTTATATGAGGAGACACTAACCTCCCTCTTTCCCTATCCGTAGGGATTTTTGTCGGGAGCACTGAGATCAACATGAACTCTGGAGTCAATCACAAAACAGCATCCATCTGGTTGTGAAGAGAAAATGGGAAGCCACTGCTCATCGAACCCTTGTCCAGACTACAGCACGTGTCAAGAGGAATTCGACTCTCACAAATGCACATGTTCTGCAGGTTGCGTTGGTAAACACTGCGTGCGCGTATGTTCTCTTAAGCCGTGCCGACATGGCAAATGTGATAGTTCAAACCATGGAAAGGGATTCTGATGTGTTTGTCCTCAACAGTACACTGGTTAGTGGATTTTTTTTTTTTTTTTTAAATAAAAAAAATTTCAATGATTTGCGGGCGCACTGGTACTGGTGATTAGGCGCGAACTTGTTGTGGGGCGAATTCACCAGTTAACGATATGCAACACAAATCTCTCACTGTTGAACTTAAGATTCACTTAAACTTAGAGTTTGAATGTTTTGTATAATTTCTTAAGGGAATTCTGTGAGGTTTGCATGGAGATACCCTGTCGAGATAAGTACTTTGGTGCTTCAAGTATAGGCGTCTGTGGTCCGTGTAAATGTGAAGTGGGGATGAATCTGAGTCCAGTTTGTAACAAGTCTACAGGAGAGTGCTACTGTAATGTAAGTACCAAATAGAAGAAGCTTATCAGATGAAGTTTACTAAAACCGTGGAAAGTTACGAGAGTCTAAACCAGGGGAGAAAACTAGAGCAGTTTTTGTTTTTCCATATGAAGTCAGGAGAACGAGGGAAAAATCAATGGGGGAAAAAGCGATAATGCAGAAAACAAATGAACAAATAAAGACTCCTTAATCTACCATTATGGACTATGGACGAGCGGGAAAGGAGAATTGTTTTCAGTCTGGGGGGACATAAAGTTTTTGTGTGTGTGCTTTTATATTTCCTCGAAAAGAACAGGTTTTTATACCGATTTGTTTGCGATTTGCATCATTCTTTATAAGATTGGTATGGGAAACAGGGCAGAAAAGTGCATTGTAGGGGCGATGTGTCTGAAAGAAAGCCACTGAATGGTTCTCTTGTGGTCTTGCATTTTTCGTCGCCTGTAAACCGCGCCTACTGCTCTAGAATTCAGTTCTGAATCTAATGTGTCTTTCATTCACTTGTTACGCAACTGGTAATCGGTGCTTTTTTTAAAATTTTTACTCGTTTTGTTTTTGTCCAGGCGAAGCACTATCGAAAGATTGTAAGCTATACATTCTCGGGTGCCCCTCTGTTTAGTGATGGCTGTTTTAGATGTGACTGTGAAGAGATTGGTAGTACTTGTGATCAGTGTGCTGCAGAGAATGGCCAGTGCCCTTGTCTTAAAGGCCGAAGGGGAGGGAAGAATGTGGTCGGGAGGCGTTGTAATCAGTGCGAAGACAAACAGGGTCAGATTGTGAGTGGTGGAGGCTGTGTGGGTAAGTGAGATTTTACGTAACTTGAACGCGTTGCAAACGCGGTGAAAATGCGTTTGTATGCGTATTTAATGCGTTTTAAATGGGTTGCGTTGTGCGTGTAAGGTGTTGACAGTGCCTATGAAACACGCTTCAACCCGTTCAAAACGCGTCTTTATTGCAGGTGAAATGCGTTTGCACGCGTTTAAAACAGGCGCATAGACATGCATTAACTCCACTGCAGAGAAACAGATCTTTTTCAGTCTTGTCAAATAGGGAAGAATCCCCATTTTTCCAATTTCCTACTTGGAAAAGGAAATTGGTTGAATTGTCAGAAAGTCGTGTGTTTGGTAACATTTCTTTCATGAGAAAAGAAAGTTAATTTTAATTCCTCTTTTCGAGAGTTTTTTAGAAACAGTTTGCACGAGAAATCGTGAGTCTTCTGTACACATAACTAACAACGATTTGCATTTGTTAAATTATTATTGTTAGTATTATTACTATTACTATTATTGCTATTATCATAATTATATTATTAGTGAGTAGCGTAAGCGTTAGTGTAATTAACTTTGTATTTGTTTGTATTACTCTAGTATTTGTGCTTTAAGTGAAAAAAAAAAAAATGTGTTTAAAAAAAAAAAAAAAAAAATTATATTATTTCACCACATGAAAGGAAGATATCTCGAACAGCATTCGTAATGTTACCTCTTTTTATTTATTTATCTACGTATGATTTGTTTATTAAAACCGGGAAATGAGGAACTCTAGAATTAATTTTATTTGTTTGTTTTTAATAGTTATTAACACATCATGTCCAAGAGCATTTGCTGAGGAAATATGTTGGAAGAAAGCCGCGTTTGGGACAACAGCAAAAGAAAAATGCCCATTCGGATCATCGGGTTTGTGTTTTGATTAACTTAACTTTTTTTGAAAATTTTGTGATCTCAGCATCTATGCCGACGTTTTTTTAAACTTGTTGATGAAATGTTGTATAAGAAGGTAATTGTTTATATCTTGTTATATCTATGTTAAACCATACAATTTCTAGTTTTAGTTTTTCTCGTAGTCAGTCGTTTTGCCGATTAGTCATTATTTTATATATGTATTTGTACTGCTTTGAAGGCCGTAAGTTAGATAAATCATTGGGTTAATTTCGTCAACTTCGTTAAATAAAGAATATTGTATTGTATTGTATTGTAAACTCAAGTACGTGAACGAAATCCTGCGAGCGCTTCTTTGATGTGTTACTAAACAAGGAATTTACCACTGTTAAGTCAGTGAATAAAACCAAGTTACATGATATTCACGAACTTTTGAGCAGTTACACTGAAAATAACATTATTAGCGCCAGACTTCCGGCAAATCTCTGAGGCGTGTCAAATTTTCCCGCCGGTGGAAAAACGCGCGTCCTGCAGCGCTGATCATGAAGGCGTGCTCGAAAGCTAGGTTTTCACGTGAGAAGCTAGATTTGGAGTCTGTGCTTTAAACACGAGTGTGGGTGATGATTCAGATGAGAGTAACTTAGCAGCACAAGCCTGCAGTAATGTTTAATGTTCTGCACAACTTGTGTAGTTTTAACTCCCAAGTTCGCGGGTTCAACCGCAATCAGATCACTTGAGATCACTGAAGAGAAAGTTTGTGATTAATGCTTTTCTTTCGTTCTGCTGAGTCATGCTTTGTCGATATCTTGTTATTAATTTACGTTATCAGCTCAGTTGATAATATTAAATTACCCTTGTGTCTTTTCTAGTTAAAAAATTTGACGTCTGGAACGTCGACTGGAAGCCAGATTTCGCCCTTGGTATATATATAGGACAGCAGTTAGATCTTGCCATCACGTTATCCCCTCAACTGTACGCCAGAGACATAGAAATCGCACTGACGATTATCACCACTCTGTTTGGATACGAGAGTCAACAAAACTCCAGCACGCTTGTTTCAGCCAAGACCAAGGAGTTTGCGAAGGTGCGAAAGTTATAGAAATTTATTGCAGAAACCGCATAATTTCCATCTCAGTCATTTTAAAGTAAAGATATAGTACTTACCGCAGTTTGAGCATCCAAGGGGATTGTATTCTCCGAGTAGTTGTCTTAAAATGAGCAGAATATTCGCCATAGTGGCCGCCGCCGACTTCAGCTCATTTGGCGGGAATCGAAACGCTTGCACCTCAAGCAACGATCCCGTCATGCCTAGCTCTTAACTCTTTGACCCCTAAGAATGACTAGCATCTAATTTCTCCCTGTGATATCATCCCTGAATCAAATATTACGGTCACGAGAATGAAGGAAATGATCACCAGTTAAGGAAGCTCTTGATAGTTTAACAAATTCTCCTTGTCAGGACCTTTGGAAAGGTAAAGAGAACAGTATAGAGATTATGCATACTGATCGTAGGGTGCATAGGGTAAACTGTACAAACATTGCCTGAACTTTTGCCACTTTCAAAGGCAGACCTCCTCGCGTGAGGAAGACCTGTTGAATCGGGAAACGCGTTCACTGCCTTATCTGTGTAAAAAGTTTTGGTGGCGGAGATAATAGTTTTATGGTGTCTAAATTTCCTATTTCTTGCCAAGTCACAAGAAACCCACAGTCAAGAAGTGAAATTGTGACTAAGAGAGCTGTTTCGAAAGGATGACGTGACACAACGTAAAAATTTTTAGGACGGGAAAATCCACTTTTAATTCAAGTGTGCAGCTGCGAATGTGCAGAGGAAGTTCACTGGTCAATTTTTTCACCCTGAAGAGTGACTAGCATTTACTTTTTCCTTACAATATCAGCCCTGAATGACAAAATAAGGTCATGAGAATAATGGAAATGATCAACAACTACAGAAGCTCAGGATCGTTGAACCAATTCTCCTTGTTGGCACCTTAGGAATTGTATACTGCGTCTCTCAAGAACAACAACTCAAGTAATTATTTGATATGATCCACAGGTCCTTCTTCAGTCAGCCAGTACGCTGTTTAGCTCCGATAACAAAGATGTGTGGGAAGACGTTCAACAGGTAATAATTATTGGATCAGTATCTGAGCAAGTCTGCACCTACCCCTCCCCTAACCCCAGAACAGTCAACCAATAACAAATTAGTGTTATTTTTGGGCTAGGGGAGGGGTAGGTGCGCAGTTGTGCAGGTCCTGATATAAATCTGAATTATTTTTGCCGTTATTTTATTTTTTGCAAGTAATCCACGGTCGATTTGTCGCCGGTTTTTATTTCGCTATGCTCTCCACTTGGCTTGTGAAACTCACGCCCTTTCGGCCATTCGTATTACTGCAAACAGAAGCCAATAACGAGTTTTTAACCGTGATCATCATACTTGTTCGGAAAGCGCGCTTCTACTGGGATATTTTCAGATGTTTGTGGTCATTCGTTGACTTGCACAAACTGTTGTCATGCGCAATCCATAGCAAACATTGGCAGACATTAGCTACCAAGACGCAATTATTAATGGCCAATCGTCACAAAAGAACACAAAATTTCTCCGAGAACGCAAAAAAAAAGAACACAAAATTTCGGCCGAGCATCAAAAAGCACACAAAATTTCTCTTCAAATTCATTTGAATATTTTTCCTAGAAACACATGACCAGTGGATTGTGAGCACCTTGTTTATACCGACACTAGCTCGGAGGCACTGGCAGTGAGGTCAAGAGTTTTGTAAGGCGATTTTTGGGAGCAGTAGATATTTTTATGTACACTTACTCTACTATTACCTTCCGTTGGCCGTATAAGCCTCTTATCTTGACTGCTGTTTCCTTTCAACTTGACAGCAATCCGCAGGGACAGCGGCACTGTTAAAACAGATGGAAAACTTCAGCGGAAACTTAGCCAGAGGTCTACCGTACTTAAAACGAGACTCGCGCAGATACAGGCCCTCTACCGAAAGCATTCTGCCACCGTACACGATTATTACTCCCAATATAGGTAAGAAATCTATTTTGTTGAGTTTGCTGTGTGTAACAGGGCTGTGTCGCATTTTGAGGTAATTTTAGTACTTACTTGTCGGGGAATTTCTCTGCTCTGTCTCAGAAGTGACTGAAATGTTCCAAACAATATCACTGCATTTTTTGGAATTTGAAATTATGAAAGACAGATGATGTCAATAGAGATTTCTGATCATTTTGAGGATTTTATTTGTGGTGTTTGGGTTAAGAAGCGCACGGTAGCTATTATCAGACATTTATGAAATATTCCTAAACGGCATTTAACGCTAGAGAATATTTTAATGTTCCTGCAACAACACTTGGTCCTGATCTTGATCCTGAACATGCGCACGAATGATACTTAAAAGAAAGGTTTACATCAATCACCACCCCAACATGCGTAATATTGTCCTGTCTTATATATGCGAAAATCGTAGAAGCCTATTTTTAGAATACCGTAACTGCGCCTTTTTATTAGTGTTCCACAAACTATGGAAACTGTTTGGGATTAACCAAGTAGACGCTTTCGTTGTAAACAAACGGTTGCTTTCACTTGCTAATATCCACGCTTTGTTCTTCATGTCAAAGGATTCTCTGGATTATCGTACCCCGCGAGAACAGACCTTTACAGCGACTCTCCTTATAAAATTTGGCGTAATATCTCTAATAGAATTTACCTTCCTAAACCTTTCTTTCGTGGAAAAGGTAAGTCGTGAATTTGACGTAACTTGCATAACAAGTACCTGGGTTTATGCTCGAGCACGGTTTTGCGGGTCGCCACTAGTCGCAAAAAAATTGCCTCATAAAAGGGAAGTTTAAATGTCAAATGAGGCGCTAAAAATTGTGCCGAAGGATAATTCTATTTTGTAAGAGCTACTTTATAAAGTATTCGCAGACATAACTTGCCAGAAGACTGATACGGCATCTGTTCTGTAAAACTCAGTTCGAGCTTACTAACCCTTTCCTTGGTAAAGGGCCTCCCTAAAACTAAAGAAGGGGGCCTGCCAGGCCTTCGTGGGTAGTTACTAGAATAAACCGTGAAACAGCAAAATTAATGCGCGTTTGGATTCCGCGCGCGCGCACGCGAGGATAAAAAGGATATTTAGGAGAGCTGGCAAACAATAGTAAAAAAGAGAGGCGGATTTGAACAATTTTAAGATTGTTTGAATATTTTTTTGCAATGATTATGATAATGTTGTGAGTGACAGCTCTTTAAGAGATCTAAATATTTTTTTATTTAATTTTGTTTCAGATGTGGAAGACAACATAGGAGTTGGCTTCATGATCATCAGAAATATCGGAGATTTATTACCCAAAGCACTAAATGCACTAAATGCATCGAAAGTACGTTTGGATAGAATTTTTAAACAATTTTGGTTTTTCCCCCTAGTATTTAGAAGAGACTATTTCGTGGTTAGACTACGAGCAGTCCTTGCCTTGAAGCGAAGTCTGTCGCACGAGTTAAAAGAAATTGAGGAAAGAAAAGAAATTGATGTAAGCACACCACGTTGAATTTTGGGTGTGAGGGGCGATAACCCCTTTTTTTTTCCCCACGGAATTTATTTTAATCGTGCGACGGACTGCACCGAGAAGAAGGGACTGCTGGTAGTGTATATTGTGGTTTGATTGAGAAATGGAATATGTGCTAGAAATAATTAAAAGCAGTTTACGATTTGCTCTAACTGCTTTTGTTTGTCTTTTTTTTATTTTTTATAAAACTCATATATTGATTTATTTTAAGCGAGCCACGCTGTAGTTTGTGAGTGTTATAAGCATAAATGATTTCCAAGTTTGACATCTGCAGTTCCTGTTAACCCTTTAACTTCCACGAGTGACGAGGGTAGAATTTCTCCTTACAATATCAATACAATATCAAGCAGACAAGTGACGAGATTAAAGAAAATATAAATTCAGGGATTATTAGTTGATCCAATACCCAATTCTCCGAACTAGCATCGTAGGAATTGTATGGCAGACAGTAAGGAGAATTACTACTGAGATCTTGGAAGTACAAGGTTAATCTTCTTCAGGCTTAGCTCTCCTTATTTCTTCCTTGTTTGATGTAATCTCTGAAAACTATTTTTCTCCCCAATGTGTATATTCTGTGTTTTTTATCAGCAAAAGCGAGGCGAATTATCCTCGCATTGCCTCATGAGGATTTTTATGATATAATCAAGGTCCCTTTTTTTTTTTACAGCGACTCGAAGTACAACGTTGAAGTCAGCTCTGATGTCGTCTCTGTCAAGTTACCTCAGATGGAAATGGCTCCCTTAACATATCCTGCCCGCATTGCCTTTACCAACAGACTTGTAAGTTGTTATTCGTTACTAATTTTAGCTAGGATTTGTTTAAGAAACTAACCGAAGAATGTTTAAGTTGTCTTCTCTTAAATCAGCCTGGTTTACCATGTGATTAATTCAACTGCTTGTCATGTTGGTTTATTTGTCATCTTTCCTTTCTGTTAGGTGAATCGATCGTCTTACATTTGTGTGCACTGGAATTATTCAGTACCGTGAGTATAATAATGAATAGCTTTAATTTTATGTTGTTGCATACTCTCGAATTTACCATAGAGACACTTGTTTAGTCGCGCCGCTTTCGGGCCTGTGTACTCATTTTCGTTCCGAGTTGTCGTGAGCGGGAGAACATGGTAACCTAGAAACCGCCAATCGGAGACACTACAAGAGCTGCACGTCGTCGTTATGGCAAAAAACCGCTATAAAATATACTATAATCGAATATGACTTGTAGAGGTACTTTTGGTTGACGTCTTTTGCCATCATTACGAAAAACATTGGCTATGCTTCAACTTCCGAACGGTTTTCCATATACAAGAGCGATACTGGCGTTTGCTAAGATGTAGCTTCTTCGCTCTTGCGATCTAAGGATCCAGACAACCATTCGTCATTTGCCCTACTGTTTCTTTGAGGATACCCACACCACAAAAAAGCTGCCCTTTAGTTTAAGAACGCTTACTTTGCATCCCAATGTGCAAGGTTAAACTTTGCATACAAAAAGACTCTTAATTCATGATTACGTCAACTAGCATTAAAGGAGTATTTCGATATTCTACATGGTAGTCTATAGTGAGACTACTGCAAAAATTCCACTACAGACACAATGAAAACAGTTATTCAGGAACCAGAAGACGCGTTGTGATTGCTAAGCCTGCCTATTGTTTTTCGTTACCATAGAGACACGCGTGGTGGTGGTTGGTCACGTTACGGGTGTAAATCAGTAAAGTCCAGTAGAACTCACACAGTTTGCTCTTGCACTCACCTAACGGCTCTTGCAGTCCTGTCAGACTTAAATCTTCAGGTGAGGTTGATGATTGTGAAGCTGTTACAACAAAAACCAACAGCAACAACTTTACTACCTTGTTTTCAGAAGGCATGCATTTACAATTACGGTGGTTACCATAACAGCTAAATATCTAATCTGGTCGAGTACCATGATACATATTTAGAATTGAGTTGTTGGCAGTAGATTGTAAATAAGAAAGGAAAGAGAAAGAGCTGCAAGATAAAGATATATAACCCTTTAACTCCCAGACGTGATTAACATGCAACTTCTCCCTATAAGATCCATACATTATCCACCAACAGGTAATGAGAATACCTCAACTTATCATGGAGTAGTTTGATCTTGATCTAACACCAAATTCTCGTAACTTATTTATAAGAAAACTGTATCAGCCAGAGGGGAGAATAAACATTCAGATCCTGGGAGTCAAAGGGTCAACTTAAAGATAAAGAAATTAAATTAAATTAATAAGTACCGGGTAGAAAGCTTTGAAGGATATCTTTTTCGTATGGATTATTAGTTAACCCTTGAACTCCCAGATTAAATTTGTAATTCTCCTTACTGTCAACCATTCAATTCTTATAATGTTAGTTCAGAGAATTTAGTATTGGATCAACTAATTATCCCCAAATTGATCTTTTTCTTTATTCTTATCACTTATCTGGTTGATATGGTATTCATATTGTAAGGAGAAATTCTGTCCTGGTCACTCATGGGAGTTAAAGGGTTAATTTATTTTGAGGTCTGTATGAGGGTCAATCTCACTTTTTCCTTTAGAGGAGGTTGTTTCAGTTTCCAAACTATTCCAACGGGAAGGCGAATGTAAAATTGTCAATAATTAGTTCGAAAAAAAGTGTTATAACTGGTAGATCTATCAGAGTCTAAATCTAGTTTTATTGAGAACATACATTGGAAAAAAAATGATCCAAATGATCCAGGGAGAAGATTGAAATAAAATTGGTTCATAAATTGAGAATCGTGAAAGAAAACTAAGTCAACTTGTTTAAGTTGTTGTTGTTGTTGTATTTTTGAGAGAGGAGGCATGTTGTTGCAGTGTCACAAGTAATTTTCTTTTTTTTTCTTTTTTTATCAGTATCGCGAGCAAGCAGCCTTTGCCATGCGTTTGGTGACGTACATTGGTATATCAGTGTCCCTTGTTCTGTTACTGACAGTTTTTATACTATTCTTGTGTCTAAGGTAATTTTTATTTGATTTTCGTCATTTTACTAACCTGGCCTTCTCACAACGGTGGTAAGAAATTATGGAAATATTCCATATCATGATCTCTTCTCCCATGGACACTTCTAATACAAAATTGAACAATACAATATTGAGCCCACGCACTTCTCGTAAGCGTAGATAGCGGAACTCTTAGTGTTGTGGTGTGGTGTTGTTTTCCAAAAATTCTTAAATTGGGGGCATCTGCAAAATTCCCTTTCAAAAAAAATGGAAGCTGTTAAATGCAGTCCGGTAAAAGTCCGCTGCAAAATGTTGTTGAGCATACTCTTATAGAGGATGCGCCGTATAAATGCATCATTATCAGTAACATCACTGTTTTGTTTTTACAGCAATCTGAAGAGCAACTCGATAACAATTCATAAGAACCTTATTGTGGCGGTCTTCGTCGCGGAGCTGACGTTCCTCTTGGGAAGCAGCAGAACGGCAGATCAGGTTGGGTTAAATATAGGGCCAACTTATGTTTACAGCAGGGTGATTTAGTATTATCAACTCAATTATTATCAACTAAATTGATAACGTAATTTGGTCACCGTAAAGAGTTTCAAAGCTAGCTTTGAAAAACGACAGCGTTCACTCCATGGATACTTTTACGCACGTAAACGTCTACTTCAACTATGGTTTTTTTTTTGAAACGCGTGTTCATTAGTGCGGGCAAAAACGCAACATTGGAAATCTAGCTTTAGCTTTCTTTAAAACATATTAGTTTGGCTTCTGATCTTACGACGTTGCTTTTATTTTTGTTTCATTGCAGAGATTGTGTCAGTTGATCGCCATCATGCTGCATTATTTCTTCAGCGCCTCTTTCTCGTGGATGTTCGTCGAAGGTCTGCACATGTATCGCAGGCTCAGAGAATAGAGGAATATAGACACTGGCAAAATGTCCTTCTATTTCTTCATGGGGTGGGGTAAGTGGTATGAATGTTGTCCAACAGGGAATGTATGGTGTCAATCCTTTGAAGTGACTAACCCTTAAATTCTCCCTCTAACATCCCTACATTATCCAGCAAACAGGAAGTGAGAATATCCAAATTATCAGGTAGAGGTTGTTATCTTGATCCAACACCAAATAATTGGGACTTATTTACAAGGAAATGTAAAGCAACTGGAGGAGAGAATTAACAATCACATCGTGGGAGTAAATAGGTTAAATTTCGTGAGTTGTAAGCAGGAATTTTTCGTAAAAAAAAAAAAAAAACGGAGGAGGGGGGATGGAAGAGGAATGATTGGTACAAGATGCCTACCAAAAGTTACATTTTTAAAATATACGCTCGCCATCACCTATTTGAAGATAAGTTTGCTTTTGAAAATTAATGCTTTCAAATAATAATTATAAAACATAATAAAACACGGATTTCTGTGCAACGAGTGTGGTTTTTTTTTTGTCTCAGGATGTCCCGCTATTGTGGTCGAAGTTTCCAATGCCTTAGCGAACGAGGGCTACGGAAACCAGAGATTGTAAGTAAACTTACGGGTATGGTCGCTGTAGAACTTTTTACTAGTCTCCGTAAACAGTTTGTTTGTACTTTTAACATTCTTAAACCAAGCAATAGATAGTGACAGTTCCCACTAATTTCGCGACATTTGACCGTTTTTTATTACTTTTCAGCTGCTGGATGTCGAAAAATGGAACACTTATCTGGACCTTTACGATTCAGATCATCATCATTGTCGCGGTAAGTAGCTTCACGAATGATCCCACTCCTGATATTAACGGCAAACCAAGAGGTAAATCTCTTGTGGTAAAGTGATTATCAATTGAATTAAAAATCTTTCAAAAAACATCCAGTGACATCTCTAGGAAGCTGGTCTCATTCCCGTTCTCCTTACAACATCATCACGATATGAAGCAGGGCGGTGATGAGAAAAAAAGAAAAAGTATATCAACTAGGCGATTATTACTCGATCCAATACCAAATTCTCCGAACTAACATCATTAGAATTGTCTTACAAATGAGAAGGGTTAATGTCAACCGTCCACTTTTCACCCGTTCTTCCTCATCTAGTTTTCCCATCCTCCTCTCCACTTATAATTTCGTTGCAGATACTGTGTTGATGAACGGTGGGCCCGTTTTATTTATATTTCGTTTTGTGACTTAGTGTTTGCCTCAGTGGCATTCTTTGGCGCAGTTGACATGCATGTTGCTGTGGCAAACAAGACAAACAACTACATAGAGATGACGGTCTGAAATTGTTCATATTTATACACAAATTTTGCATTTGTGGAATGGTGCGGTATTTGTATACCTTTACATTGATTGATTTAGTATGTCATGTTTTTCATTGATTTTCTTTTTATCATCTTAGCTCAACACACTCGTCTTTATCATGGCGCTGTTCATTTCACTTCAAAAACAATCAAGGAGACGTCGCCCGCATCATCACCATTACCATGGCGACGAACAATCTAACTTGACGTAAGATAGCACTTTTGACTGATACATGAGCGTATCAATCGTCTCTTGCTAAAGCTTGGTTTTCACAAGCGACGCAAGCATAAACACAAGCATAACAGCTCAGAGAAGCAAGCAAGAATATAGCGCAAAACCGCTTTATTTTCCGTAGCAGTGTAACGAGTCGGTTCACCACAGACAACAGTATCACGGATACTATAGGAGATGAAGATACCAGTGCACCAGGTGTGTGTTTGAAATGGAATTTCTCTCAAATGTGCTCTATACATTCTGCTCAGTCCAAGTAATGAGAAAGTGGTTTTAAATAAATTACAGTGACTTCTAGTCGGCTTCTATACCCTAGAGACCGAAGAAAAGTGCCCCCTTCTAAATCCCCTTATTTTTTTCTTCAATGAAGACCAGATTTGTGCCCTACGAAGCCAAGTTTTCTTTAATTACAGTCGTCCTACAAGAAATGTTCCTTTGCAATTCAATTCGGTGGGGAGAAAAGAAGAATCACCTAGAAAGTAAATACAAGACTTAAAACACAAAAGCAATCAGAAGCAATCTCAACCAACAATCATACCTGGAGCCAGGCTAACTGGTTTAGCGCAGAAGGGGCCGGGCATTGATTGCTTGATAGTGGAATTTATCATTGCTTTTTTTCAAGGAACCAACTCCTCTGAACCATTTAGGAATGACTTATGGCTTGCAGAAACTGTACATTCTGTTTGTTTGTTTGTTTGTTTGTGTCGTCCAAGTCTTTCATTTCGCTCAGCGAAAATACGTTGTAATGGAGTTATTCCTCATTTCTGGGAACTAATTTTTGTTTGGTTGTTCAAATTTTTTAGATGGAAAATCGCGAAAGGCCAAGTACCCTGATAATCCTGAACTCGGTAAGTCGTTTACAATGCGTAAACTCAAACATTTCTATGTTTAAACTCCTTTGTAGTCAATATTTTGATGGTCACGAAACGAAGAGGAAAATAAGGGTGATATTACTTCGTCACGCAATATTGTTGTGCAGCGAAACATCTGTAACACATCTTTGGTACAGTCAGTTAAAGGCTAACAGTCTTGTGAGTATATATAGAGTGGGTAGCATTATAGACGCACTCTGATTGGCTACTCAAACTCCAAATATCCCTTGCTAATCACCTCCGAGCAACGCGCGCGCGATTTGCGCCCGGAAAGATGGTAATCGTTGCAGGAAGAAATGCGTTCGGGTTTTTACCTAATTAATTATGCAAAAAATACAGTAAAATTGACCAATTTTAATGTGCTAGTGCTGAAGGAAGATTTTTCGTAAGAAATCGGTGGTGTTTTTACTTCAAAATATAATTCATTTGATTTTTATTTGTGGCACTTTTAGGAGCTTTGGTGTAATTTTAAAATTTACATGATTTTTTAACAAAGTACTCTCAAACGCTTGTTGCAAAAAGCGAAAAATAAAGCAACTTCAAGCCTTCAAAACGCGTCTTGGTACATAAGAAATCATGTCAAATTACATGCGGGCACAAAGTTTGGTCCTTATACGAAAATAATATGAAATAAAAAATTTGGGTGATTCAGAAAAGTGCCGGCAAAATAAAAGAGTTTGCGACGTACTGTGGCCAAGATCAGGAAGCAAGCAACACTTTCACCTTTACCGGTAACCCTTTAACTCCCAAGATCTCATTAGTAATTCTCCTGACTGTCTGCCATATTGTTCTATAGAAGTTAGTTTGGGGAATTTGGTAATGGTCAAGTAATAATCCCTAATTAAATTTTTCTTATTCTCATTACTTGTCTGCTTGATATTGTGTTGATATTGTATTGATATTGTATTGATATTGTATTGATATTGTATTGATATTGTATTGATATTGTATTGATATTGTATTGATATTGTATTGATATTGTATTGATATTGTATTGATATTGTATTGATATTGTATTGATATTGTATTGATATTATATTGATATTGTAAGGAGAATTCTGTCTTGGTCACTCATGGGAGTTAAAGGGTTAACCCCCTGTTACTATCCAGTATCCCAAGTGATCTTGTGTTGTACTTTCATGATCTCAGAGTTAGTCTTCACTTTATATTGAAAAAATTTAATAAATACAAGAATAAGTAACCCTTTTTCGAAATGTTTTTTACCCAGTAAATCATTTCTTTCTTTGTTTAGAGTGGCATTATCATTGTTGACGAATGTAAACTTGCCGTGGCAGGTAATTTTGGGACTAAAGCAGCCTCCTTCTCATGTGCCGCAGCACGGCAGTCTTCAAATTAAAGATGAATCGGAAAATTACAGGTACATTTTTATGTAAATGCACACCATCAAGAATAGGCAGAGTGGCTGAGTACTTAGGGCACTGGCCACCTGCTTAGGGACTTGCCAAGTGCTTAGGGACTTGTCATCCGGTTGTCCCAGGTTGTAGTTCTCCACTCTGCTACTCACTGGATTTGTTTTCAGTTGCACTGTGTTCCACTCGTTGACTTTGCTCTGTTTAAAGTCAATTTGTCTGCCTTTTACGAGTTGCGGTTCTTAAAAACTGTGTTGACGTTTATTTACTATGTTTATTTACTATGTTTATTTCCAATTTGTTTGAATTAATTATTTCTAAAATTTGTAAGCAAATTGAGAATAAAGAAATATATCATACGAACTGTTAATAGTGTTATTATTATTGTTATAATTAATTGTTATTATTATTGTTATTATTAATCATCATCATCATCATCATCAGAGCTTTAGGTATTTATAAACGGGTCAATATATGCAATAATTTTAGTATAGTGGGTGACCTTTATTGTAAGAAGTTTTTGACATGTTCTTGACCCCAAGCAGTGTTTTTTTTTGTCAGATTACTTATGTCAAACTGCAGTTGGAGCTCTCATTTCTGGGAGTCAAAGGGTCAACTGTAATCTTGAGGGCTAGAACTTCCTGATCAGTGCGCTTTGATCACAAGTGTTCACTTTTGCAGTACTTGACCTATACATAATTCTAGATTTTAACTTACTTTTTAAATTCACAAAATTGTTTATGGAATGTTTTCGTGTTTGTAATAAAAAGTGAACTGCAAATAGCAACACCGGGTTTTTTGTTTTGTTTTGTGTTTTTTTTTTGCTCCTTGCATTTGACAGGCCCTCTTCTTCTCGGTGGGCCCGTGCAGCTACCAATTAAATTCTCAGTCCTCTACAAACATTTTGCTGGCTGCATCAGAAATGTTTACATCAATCACGAGTTCTTGGACCTCAGTCAGCCATTGTACAACAACGACGGAACCAGTGCTAAATGTAAAGCAATGGGCAACACGTGCGCATATAAACCTTACGGGCGAGGCACGTGTTTTTACATACTTGGTTCTCACCGGTGTGACTGTCCCACTGGGTTTGATGGAAGTCGCAGTGAAACAGGTATTGAATTTTATTTTTTTTACGAATATGTAATGTTCTTCGCACTTACTATAGTTTGAAGCGTTCGGAAGAGTACGGAATCTTCTGAAATCTTTTCAGATGCTTAGTATCTAAGATGCAGACAACAGTTCATGAGTTGTGCATGATAAAGGACACCTTATGAGCATTTAAATGTATGCGGTTCTTTGTTATGAAAAATATATAGTCGGGTTTATCTGATTTAGTGGATCTTCAATTAATAAATGCACGAATTTAATCACCGGTATTTTCGCCTTGAATTATCGATCCATACCAGATTTTGACCCGACAGTTCTGAGAAAAAACCAAAAAATCAGTTTTACTGTACATCCGACGAAGATCTGCAGGTTTCAAAAACCCTGTGAACAATCCTCAGAGTTGAAAGATTCCCTTCCTTAATGTTAAGGGCCGAGTTCCTCAAATACTGTCTTCTGTTGTGTCAGCAATTTCTGTTTCTTAACCCTTTCACTGCTAAGATATCATTGTTAATTCTCCTTACTGTCTGTCATACAATTCTTATGATGTTAGTTCTGAGAATTTAGTATTGGATCAATTAATAATTCTCTAATTGATATTTTTTCTTCATTCTCGTCAATTGTCTGCTTGATATTGTTTTGCCATTGTAAGGAGAAATTATGTCTTGGTCATTTATGGCAGGTAAAGGTTGTTGTAACTCAGGTTAATTAATTTCCTAAACCCTTTAACTCCTTGATCAAATTTGTAATTCTCCTACTGTCAACCATACGATTCTTACGATGTTAGTTCAGAGAATTTAGTATTGGATCAACTAATTATTCCCAAATTGATGTTTTCTTTATTCTCATCACTTACCTGGTTGATATGGTATTAATATTGTAAGGAGAAATACTCTCTTGGTCACTCATGGGGAGTTAAAGGGTTAAATTGGAGAGAAATTATCCAGGCCTCCAGTCAGCGTTGATTTTCTGGGATTCGCATTACCCTAAAATACCCCAACTAAGGAGAACGTCAATTTCTTATCACGGGTTCTTTGATGTAAAGTATTCATACAAACTTCCTTGTTCAACAGGTGTGAAATACACTAGGAGATTCTCAAGACGGAGTTTTAAGAGGGTGCCTGCCAACTCAAAGGTCAATCTTCTGTGGAGTGTTTCAATGAGATTCCGCACAGCTAAGCCATCAGGAACTCTGTTTGAAATCTCTTTTTCGTCATCATCTTCGGTGCCGGAGGTAAGTTATGTAAATCAAGATACATTTTTAAAAGCCATTGAACGTTGATATACTTACGTGAACTTTGTTTCTATTTCAGTTGGTTGATGGTAAACTGTCGCACAACTACAAAGAGTTGTTGGTTCTCCAATTGCCTCACATAGCAGTGAATGATACCCAGTGGCATCACAAGTCAAACATGAATTATCAAAAGATGTATTTGAAATGTCGTCAGAAGAATTGTAATCTATTCCATTGGTGGCGTTACAAACCCTTCAGGAAAACACAGCAAATTCTGTGTGCTGACATGGAATGACATTTTTTGTCGTAGATAGACGACGTCATCTTACACTGCCCTTATTTTAAATTGTAGAAGAAGGAGTAGATGCATAGGCTGAAAAATTTTCGGACAATAAATGGCGAAGTTACGCCTAAGAACTTATGGGTTTTAAACCTCATGAACTCGATGCCTTAGAACAAGGGGATCTTAGAGATTTTCTAACATTTATATCAATTTTAAGTAAAATGGTATAATTCGCGTTTTTCAGAGCGTAGATTTAAGGAAGGCATATCCACAGATGAAGAACTGTTCTTATTAGCTCAGGAATTAGCCAAAGAAGATCCTAAAAAAAGTGGAAGAATTTTTCACGATTTTATTTCAAAAATGAATTTTGTAAATTTTTTAATTTTTCAATAGGTGAGCTTTCTGAAGAAGAGCATGCACATATTGCGCAGAGGATTGGATTATCGTTGTTTAGGAAGTTAGCTCCACGATTAGGCCTAACTAGTAGTGAATTAGAATGTTCAGAAAACGAGGTCATGTGTCTGGAGTGTTATAATGCGGATAAATAAAATGTGTGTAAATTGAAATCATATTCTTATTTTGTTTAATCACGAGTTCTTGGTGGCGTCGTCTATATTGTTACGCTCACTACCGATTCGTATCGTGGGTATGTGTACGCATTAAGGTACTCGTGTACGAAGACGATGACGTGTATAGAATACCTTACGACTGGGTTCCTTCCCTTATGATAGAAGATGTGTATAAACATGCTATGAAACCTCATTTGTATCCTCCCCATACTCGTATTCATCACTTGATGACTTTCATGCGATATTACGAGGGAAAGTATGCATATAATATGTTGAATCGATTGTACGCACAGTATTTGGGTGAGTGTTGGATTGGTTACTACTGTGTGAGTCATTGGTTCAAATTGTAATGGCTAAAAAAAAAGGAAGATTCAATCCGAGACAAAGAAGGTACTCGATTACGATACACCCGGTGTCGTCGGCAGTCTAGGGAGCGTGTCTCAATATGCTCAAGCTAAAGGTATTTCAAGTCCCAAAGCGAAAAAAGAATTAGAAGTAAGACATTTACTGTAAAATTCAGAAACGACAATTTGGGTAAACATTGTATAAAACGAGATCCCCATGCTTCTCCATACCTTACACAGAAAAACTGCCTCAACTTGTCCCGGTAATCATCTGGTGATGAGCCTTCAAAGAAGGAAACGTAAAATCATTAAAGAACTTGTAACTGTTTAAGTAACTTACGTTAACCTTTCTGAACTTCAGTTGTGGTACTCTAATTTCCTCTTAAGCACTTCAAAAAAATTTATCAAACTAGAATCAAAAAGTTAAGGAGGGCAAAATACAATGGAAGTCATTCATTTGTCATGATTATTTTTGGTCGTTAAAGGTGAACCATTCCAAATAAGATCACAGCCGACCGAGTCGCAAAAAAAAAAGACTGGTTTGAGGTCAATAACAACTAGGCATTCCTCGCGAAATTTGATAATAGCCTGGGACTTAGCGCGTGTTGTGTTGAACTCGCCATGTGACTAATCGTCGTAACTATAGTTTACACACGGGAATTACATCTGATCTTGATACAGTCAACAAATTCACTTGCAGTAATATCAGAGTAACTATGCCGAGAAAAGCGAGATCACTTTCGAAGAGAAAGACCATGTAATCCTGTACCATTATATCTTTCGGATCAAAAATGGCGGGCTTTTCAATCTTCGAAACTCTACACGTTGTGGATTCGTTGTGGTAAACTGTCTATTTGTTTTGGCCATGGCTACATTGGATAGCACCTCTGAACTCAGTAATCTTTTGGATACTTGGCGAAAGGAAGATCAGGATAATGTATCACCCGTTAAAGTACTAAAAAGGTTGGTAAAGTAAAATAGTAGTAGTATTTTTTGGTAAAATTTCCGCACAGCCCCCTACTATCGTAAAAACAAAAGCTGTTTCCCCAATGGCAATGTGTTGTTTTTGTCATTGCTTTCTCTATCCAAGAACTAAATGCATAATGTAGGATGGGGCTGTGCGGAAATTTTACCCCTGCTTGTGTTAAAACTATTGTTGGATTGGCATGTGGCTGTAATTACATACCAAAAACATTTTCTTTTCCCCTCTCAGAACGAATGAAACATAGCATGGAAAGGCACTGTTCAGAAATGATGAATTTATGGACAAACTAATGAACTCCTACATCATGAGCACTGTGGAACAGTTTGATCTGAACTGCACTGCAGCCAGAGTGTTGTTAAATGCCATACCTGGGCTGGAAAGTGCTGCAGTTTTTCAGGATATGGTAAGTTTAGCAAAGGTATTCTAAATCCTTCAACTCCCAAGATCTGATTTAAATTCTCTCCTCCAGCTGCTACACATTTCCTTGTAAATTAGTTATGAGAATTTGGTGTTTTACACTTTTCACACTTTTTTTCTATTATTTTCTTACATATTTACAAGATATTAGATCAAGATGACAACTTCTTCCTGATAAGTCTGACTATTCTCATTACCTTTTTGTTGGATAATGTATGAATATTATAGGGAGAAGTTACATGTTAATCACTTCTGGGAGTTAAAGTGTTAATAATCTTAAGATGTGACATTTTTTTTGTCAGCTTGAGTTTCATGTTAAAGTCCAGAAATTGTGTCCAGTTTCTGTGGCATGGCACTCCCTTCCTTTTTAGAAAAAAATTAAATACTTAATATTAACTACTTTAATTTCTACTTTATCAAATTATGGATGAAAAAAAAATATGAATTTCTTTTTAGTTACGTTATGAAAAAAAAAAAAAAAAAAAAAGAGATTTTATTTGTTGCTCTCAGTCACCTCACTTCAGTGGAAAACACTTTTAAAAAATGCAAACTTTTCAGATTCACTTTCATTTTCCTTAATTAATAATAAATATTTTTTAGTAGAGTAAGAGGGATGGCAAGTTTTGAGCTTGGTAAAGAAATAGAGGAAGATGTTTTTGTCTTGTCACAACAAAGAAAAAATTATTATCTGAGTCCCCACGCTGAATCAAACCTTAGATCTTGGGATTCTGGGGTCTGATGCTTTATCAGTGAGCCACAGAGACTCTACGGTGAGTGAGGTTTATTACAAAGTTCAGTGACACTTGTCCTGCATACTGCTAGGATCAGCAATGTTGTTAGCATCATGTTTGTAAACAGAATATGACTCAGAATTTTTTCTTTTTCCTACACAAGTGACAAGATGAAAAACATCGTTCTTTATTTCTTTACAGAGTTCAAAACTTACCATCTCTCATTCTATTTATAAACATGATGCTATGCAGGACACTTTGCAGGATGCATGTCATATGAACTTTGTAATAGACCTCACTCACTGTGGAGTCTCTCTGGCTCAGTGGTAAAGCATTGGAGTGCGGAATCTGAAGGTCTGAGGTTCAATTCCTCATTGGGACTCAGAATTCTTTCCTTGTCCCACACTTGTGATGAGACAATAAACATCTTTCTCTACATATTTCCTATCACCAAATTTGATGTCAATCATGTACATGTAGGAAGCAATGCTCAATCAATTATGCAAGTGGGCCAGAAAAGCCTTGGAACCCCTAAGATCATATGCTACAGGTATTTATATCATAGTTTACTGGTCTTACTTTACACAGTACTTCAGGCTTTGAACATTTTTGTCACCATACCTGAAAAAGAGAAAAAAGAAAATTTAGTTGACAAAATATTTAGCATCAAGTGGCCTCCTGGGGAAAATTAGATTTATCTAATTCTTGACAGCTTCAGCTTCTGAATTAACTCAATTTTGTGTACATGTTTATTAACTGGGTGTAAATAGAAGGTTTTTTAAGTTAGGTGATCCAAGGTAGTGTACAAGGTTAAGATATAGATAGTCATGGTTTCATTGAGGATTCTAATATTCCTTTTGTTCATTTTTAATGTGTATTGCTGCAGTTGCATATTTAATTTGTTTTTAATTTCAAGTATCAAGTAACAGGTCTTTTAGCATTTGCCATAGAGAGTCAGGATATTGCTGCAGTATTCAGAGAAGAAAACTCTACCTTGGTAAGTCAGTATAGCAACTTTAAAGAGTGACCAGCATCTAATTTCTCCTTACAATATCTCCCCTGAATCAAACATAAAGGCTATGAGAACAAAGGAAATGATCACCAAATAAAGAAGCTTTTGACATCTTGTTAAATAAATTCTCCAAGTCAACAACTAAAGAAATGTATATAGAACAGTATGGAGAATATGCATACTGATGTTAGTGAAAAGGGGTTTTAAAATATCACACCTTAGCTTTGTGTTTAACAGCATTTGTTTTCCAAAAGTCAGAGTGTATAGTTGGGTTTACACTTAATTCTCAGGAATTGTCTAATGTCACTCGTGGCATTTTTTGTTTGGAACACCTTTTTTAAACTATATGCTGAGGATTAAATGTTAAATTTCAGCTGCACATTTTAAAGGACTTGTCAGACCTTACACAGTCCCTTGTGACAGACCTGCTAAACATAATTATCCTGAAGGCAAAGACAAACAGGAACAAGAGCAAAAACAGTAACATTGTGAGTAACAAAGTAAAGAAAGTGAATCTTGCTGAGCCAGGACCATCATGCACTGTGCCACAGAATGGTGAAACATCTGGTTTGTGTAATGGAGAAGTGGAAGAAGCAAATAGACAATGGAAAGGGTTAGTTCACTTTTGAGTATTGTGACTCAGATTGCCCCTCTGCCAGTGAATTGGATCTTCTAACAACTTTAAGTTGATTTAAGTGTCTTTTCAAACTGAGTGGTATGACTGGTTTGCAACTTGAAGGTTCAATTATTCTCCTTTGGGTTTTCCCTTTGACAGCCGAGGCAGTGCTTTCAGTAAGACCCAGCACCAGTAGGAGCTCCAGCGGGTATTCTGTAATGAATTGCCAGGTATACTCTGGGAGCTTTCATGCAAACTCACGATGTGAGACCTAAAACACCTTGAGATCTTCTAGAGTTCTTTCAGTCAACTTTTACCTTTATTTATGAGTTTTGATAAAATGATTGGTATTTTCTTATCATATATTATAGCATACATTTCATACATTCCCAGCCAAAAAAAAGATATTTTGAGTTTCCAACAGCAGACTGACTCAAAGTTTGGTAAACATTTACCATATATCCTTTCAGAGGACTTTTTGTGTGAAACTCAGGAGCAGGCTTGCATGTCAGGGAATGGAAAATTTTGATCAGGAATAAAACAATCAGTTAAACAATTGTTATCAAGAACAAAAAATATTTAATGATCATCTGTGAAAGTTTGTCACCAAAAACTCCGTTTTAAGTCAGTTTATTCCGAATGGAAGTAATGGGATTACAAGAGGGAAATTCTCTGGCAGGTGCCTTACAAAGGCAGCCACCTTCTTCAAATCTTATTGAGAGCACTGCAAGGATAATGTGATGAATAAGTTCCACAAAAGTGAGATCTTTTGGATGGGGTCCTTGAAGCTTTCAATGGAATAGACACTAGATACCAGTAAGTGCAAATAGGGTCTTTGAGAGGTCGAGTTTATTATTTTTTTTGCCTCAAAATTCCACTCTTGTGAAAAATGTTGGAAAGCTGCACTTTATGTTTTTTTTTGACCCTTTGACTCCCAAAATCAGATTGTTAATTCTCCCCTATAGTTGCTACATCTTTCCATGTAAATTAGTTATGAGAATTTGGTGTTTAGATCAAGATAACAACCTCTGCTTGATAAGTTTGTGTATTCTTAATAGCTGTTAAGTGAATTACGTATGTACATTATAGAGAGAAGTTACATGTTGATCACTTCTGGGAGTTTAAGGAGAAAAAGGTTAGCTTTCAATTTTGAACTAGGGGGATTTGATGGTATATCTAGGTGGTTACAATAACATGGATTGGGAAGTGTCCCTCCTCAAGCACTTTTTTTCTTCTTTTGTGTCAAGGGGGGGGGGTGGGGTGGGGTGAGGTGGGGTGAGGGGGGTGGGGTGGGGTGAGGAGGGGTGGGGTGGGGTGAGGTGGGGTGAGGAGGGGTGCCAGGAATGTAGTACTCCAAGTAGGTTTACCCTGCACAAGCCAGCTCAGTTTCCTTAATATTAATAGATATTTTCTTTTTTTCAGGTAAAAGTTGTCTACAAGCAAAACATCCATTGCTTGTTAAAACAAGCAGGGGTTTCCGTTCCACTGGAAATGTAATTTGGGCACCTAAGGAGGGTACCACGTAGTCCCTATGTCCTTTTTCCTCTCCCCTGACTCTTGGCGTGCAGCAGGGACTAATTCTGTAGTATCTGACTCCCTTGAGAGAATATCAGGAGGTATGTGCTGTAATAGGCACTTGAGCATTTGATGTAATGTGAAGAACTGTAAGTCTCTCTCCACTGAAGTTTGTGGGAAGCTTGTGAGAAAAGTGTACTCAATCTGAAAGGATAATTTAGAAACTTAACAAATTTGAGTGAGGACCGACTATTGAACAGTAGTCTTTATTTAGTGTAAAAATATGCTCGTCTTTTTTTTGGTGGACATTTATTTTGTCTAGAGAGGCCAAGAATTTTCGGAGATTAAAGTTTGAGGATAACTGTGGGCTTTTAGGAACTGATCATGTTTAAAGACAAAATATACGTATAGATTATATTAGAGCCAAATTGAGGACGTATTCTTTTCCTTTTTATCCCTCAAATATTTTTTTGCAGTGCAGAACAATCAGCTTAGCGTTGAAAACGGATGTTGAATTTTCGAAGAGATTTCACAAACAAACAAGTTTGTCTCTCCTTCATTATCAATTTGGATCAACTTCCATTAAGAATTCTCTCATGGCATGGGACGTAAGGATTTTTGATCATTTGATGCGTTTTAACCAATCGTGCGTAAGAAAAGAAATATTCGTTGGATGAAGAGATACACATTCATTTGATACACATTCATTTGGCCTTGGTCAGTTGTCAATGCACTCAGCTCTAAATTTAGAGGTTCTATTTGAGCCGTGGCAAATTTAGTTGCTTCAATTTTATCAATTGTTATAACCAAACCAGTCGTAACGTATCCTGGAGCATTGCTTGGACATTGTCAGTCATATAAGTGTAACCCTGAGGTCAGTCTCTTGCCTCAGACAAACTTATGTCTAGAAATATATGCAGTAACGATGATGGCAGATTTGACGAAATTTCGTCAAACCTACGGGATGTTCATGGATTTGACGATTTTGGCGAATTTTAGTCAATCCGCAGCACCACAGTTTCTTTAGAAACTTACCCCTTTCTTCTTTAGTCAAATTCGTCAAAGCGAAATCAGCTTAGCGGATTTGACGAATTTGACAATTTTTCGCCATTTTCTATACTGTCTGCTTTTCTGGA